GCGAGGCGGCGTGGAGCTCCGCGCGCGGGACGGGCAGGTAGGCGCGGGCGGGGGCGCCGGGCGGCGTCGGGCCCGCGGCCGCGACCAGGTCCGGAAGGCACAGGCCGAGGTGGCCGGGGGCTGTGATGCCCGCTCGGCTGAGAGCGCCTGTCCCCCCGCAGCCTCCGGGGCCAGGCCGGGGGGTCCCGAGCCCCTAGCACCGCAGGCGGGGGCTTGGGGGGAGGGGCCCGACCTGCTTTGGGATCGATGGCTTCACAGCAAAGACGGCCTGAGTGGGAGGCCACTGCGCCCGTCTGCAGGGTGGGTGACCGCTGGCCTGCGGGGTCCTCCTGCTCAGGTGGGTTTGCAAGGTGTTGCGTCCAGATGCAGAGAACTCACCGGGCCGGGCACCCGAGGGGCCTCGGGTAGACTAGACTCGCACACGCGTGTCCAGCAGCAGAAGGTGGACGTTGGATGGGCATTAGCGTGAGCTGGACCCGTGCAGATGGCCACGCGGATGCCTGAGACCCCTCCCCACCCACTGCGCTCGGGAAGTCGTCTCCGTTTGTGGAAGGACAGTCTTGTGATGGGTTCATACGTGAGAAGCGCTGCGTGTGTTCTGAGCATGCACCTCGGCCTGAGAAGGGCTCAGGTTTGCCCTGAAATCAAACCCGTAGTTAGGGTCCCTGCTTCCTGGGAGTGAAGGTTGAACCCCACGCCTGTGAAGGTAGGAAGTACGTTTGAAGGTACTTTCTGGGTGCATCCTGGTAACGCTGGATAGGAACGCTGGCTGGGCCAAGGGACAGGGTGGGGTGTCCAGGGAGGTGGGGGTGTTGTTGATATCGGGATGGTTACTCTCCCAGGTGCGGCATGTAAATCGGGGTGGGCAGGGAGCTGTGTGGGCATTACCGTTGTGGTCAAGGATTTAAGCTGGCCCTGGCGCACCAGCCGTCCCGCCTAGCGACCTGCTCTCTGGGGGCTCGGCCCTCAGGACTCGCTGGGTGCGTCATTTGTTCAGAACATGGCAGCCGTAAAGACGGAGGTCCCAGCAGCACCAGGCAGGCTTCTCGTGGGCTGAGGGGCTCTCCGGAAACACACTCTTGAATGTGAGAACTCCAGTGACACTG